TAGTAATGCAACAACAAAGTAGCAAGGGTTATTACCCAGGATTCAGTAAAAGTGCAAACAAAATAACAATTCCCGAAAGGGAGGAAGATGTCAACGCTGAACCTGACCCTCCCTGGTCCAAAACATGGACGGAATCCCGATGAAGTAGACGGATTCATCAGCTAGCGGGACCAAACTTGGCACACGTGATCTGGTATCATGAGCAGGTGTCCAAACAGTTTTTTTTTTGGGGGGGTACAGATCCCCACCTAGAGCAAATATGTGGGTAATTATGGATAATGGAGGAACTTGATCAGTACATTAGGGATCCATGAATCATGAGGGGGGTCTTTAAAACCCGTAGCGGGGAGCGAGTGTTTTACGCTGGTAGAACAAACTACGGGTGAACGTTACACGTAACAAAACAGCAGTAAATGTAAACACAAAGAACTGCTACTGCTGTTCATATGAACTGAAGAATAGAGAAGAAAAACATGTTAGTTAAGAGGTGTTATAATCAAGAAACATACACATACTTTGTATAATTTCATCGACATCTGAACCATCGTATTTCAAGTCACAAACGGCCAAACATGATTTAGTTTGTTTTAGTGTTTTGTTTATACGTTAATTAAATGTGTTTTATATAAAAGTTTGTCGAGTAGGTATTGGTATTATTCATTGTTTGTGGAAGTTATCGTGTTTCATATGGCTACTTCAAGTGGGCCAATACTCTTCATATGATATTTTACAAAGGTGATGTCGTAACTATAGGATGTTTTGTTTGTTGGTTGGTTCCGGATTTTTTTTTCTTGTATTTTTATTACAAACAAAACACTACTGATTAACTATATTTGAGTTCAAAAACCTATCATCCCGATTCTTAGAGAACCCACTTGCTGGAAACTTTTCCATCTTCGTTCCATTTCGTCAGACGACTGACCATATGGCGACACTTGACCCCGAGAGCTGCGCTCCCCGTTCCAACTACCACAGGCGTCGAAGTCGGGCAGTCTTATACCAGCTGTCGGGACATTATCGGCAGGATAAGATGAAGCCGAAGTTAAATATAAATAACGTAAGTCCACGACGTGTGTAGTACATTTCATAATAATTTCAGCGTTATATAAATTATTTAAATGTGTATACTTTAACACGTCAGATTACGAAAATATAGTAATTCTCGTGTTAATTGAGCTGTGTGTCGCATATTACATAGTCATTGTGTTTACTTGATCTTTCAGTAGTGCACATTGGGGGGATTTACACATTTTGATAAAAAGCTTAGAAAAAAACGACCTTTATACTCCAGATATATATATAAAAGAAGTTTTTTATTTTAACCGACGTTTCGCCTTTGCGGCTTCATCAGGGTTAATATACACAACCCTGATGAAGCCGCAAAGGCGAAACGTTGGTTAAAATGAAAAAAGTTCTCTTATATATATATATCAGGAGTATAAAGGTCGGTTTTTTCTAAACTTTTTATCAAAATGTGTTTACTTGGTGCCCCTTGAAGAAGATTAAGAGTAGACATTTTTTGAGGGAAAGGAAAAAAAATTAAATTAGTGAAAATAAAAGGTTGAGATAAAAATATAATATATTATCGGGAGTTTTATTTTACTTTTCTTAGTTATACCACTGAGGGCTTTATTTGTTGGAGGGGGAAATAATCATTTCGTGTTTCCTTAAGCGTCGATTGTAATATATGATAACATAATTTAGACAGGTTTGAGTCCATAAAACTTAGATTTGATTTAGCTTATATGACCTTTATATGTATTTCTATTATTACAAATGATGTTCGGTAATCTGCTCGTTATCAAACTTTAAGGGGAGAACATGAGAGTTGAGGGAGAGGAGACTCCACTATGCTCTAGAGGGGATGAACACCCCTTGTATTGCTGTTCTTTTAAAGTTACTGTACATAGCCGATTGACTGTACGATAAATTCATTCAACTCCGTGGCATTCTGGTTGTAAACTAGTACAAATAATGTTATAAATATTGCTTTACCTTCCTTGTTTCACTGCAAGAGATAAAAGCAGGCTAGTTGTAAAACCATATTATTTGCTGTGTGAAATATCAGCTTGTCTTACGTATGTTTTGAAGTCTGAAAACAAATACGTTCAAAACTCTGTATAACATTTAACAAATCTAATACAACGAACAGCTAGTGTGCTTTCGTCTTTCCGTTCTTGTTCCTCTAGAACGCAGAGAACACATTAATAACCTCTACATGAGCACGAAGTCGTAGTTAAACCTAGGACTCCATGCGCCCAATAATGAGTTGTTTAAAGTTTATGTTCAGTGAACGCGAATAATTCTTACAAGGCACTGTTCGCTTTCTGAGTAATTCAACGCCAAAGCGATGCAACAAAACCACTTTTAGTGAACGTGTTTACTGAAATCAAGTAAACACATTACCAGATTCCAACTGTAAGCTTACATTTATTGTGTGTATATATATATATATAACCTTTTGGGATAATTACTAAACATTAGCAACAGAAGATCGAGCAGCCATTCTTACTCATTACGTGAAGGCCTTGGGACTACTTAAGCCTTCTGAGTGGCTGAGTGCCATATTTTGCTCAAGTAATTGTACACACAGTCTCTAGAAACCCTTGTCTTCGCTAGTTCAAATTATAGTATCATCCACTCATGACTGATGCATTCAGGTAACATGCATGGTTGTTATAAGGTCTTTTATCAATTTCAGAAGGGTGTGTAAAATGTTTGTGTTACTAATGGACTTTATTGAATTCTTCATGCATGTTCCTTTTCTCACCACAGAACCTATTGCGTTCCACCTCTCTCCCAGAGTACAAAACAACAGCCATCAAGAAGTCCAAATTCATTCTGTCTCACTACGGAGTATTTAAAACCTGCTGGGATTGGTTGATACTTATCGCCACTTTCTACGTAGCCATTATGGTGCCATATAGCGCCGCCTTTCGGGATACACATATCAATCCATCAGTAAATAAAACTATTATCACAGATGTCATCGTAGAAGCCCTGTTTATTATAGGTACTGAATTCTACAAAAACTGATTTTTTATTATTATTAAATGACCAAGATAATCAAATATTTTATAAAAATGAGTTGCATTAAATATATAGATTTAATTAATTAGATAAAGATAAACAAGGATTAAATACAGATTAAAATGGATTAAAGAAATCAAAATCAATAACTTCAAAATCAAATAGATTAAAGTGACAAATTATTAAGTAATTAGTTGTGATGGATGCCATATTAACTCTCAAGTAACTTTTAATATTAAAAAATAATAAAAACTACAAAAAGAAGATTGTTGGAGTTTCAAAATAATAAAAGAAATGCGCAAAAAGCTATTAATAAATAAAGCTTTTATTATTAGATTATTACTAATTTAACATTGAGTTCTGAAATCAAGTTAAGAGAATTAGAAACTACTTTCTGTCTTTTCCTTTACTAACGGTTCGAATCCCCGTCACACCAAACATGCTCGCCCTTTCAGCCGTGGGGGCGTTATAATGGGACTGTCAATCCCACTATTCGTTGATAAAAGAGTTGGCGGTGGGTGGTGATAACTAGTTGAGTTCCTTTAGTCTTACACTGCTAAATTAGGGACGGCTAGCGCAAATAGCCTTCGTGTAGCTTTGCGCGAAATTCATAACAAAACAAAACTAATGGTACCAAAAATAATTATAAAGATAATTTCTTTAGGGTATATTGAAATAAACATATACGAAGTGTGTTGGGTATTTCTTTTACTAAAAATAGACTTTTATCCGTTAAGAGTATCAAAATAAAAAAGTGCACGAACTGAAAAAAAATGGTACTTATGTAAATGAAAATATGCTTAAGAAAATTAAAATAACTAAAGTAACTTAATTGTGAAGTTATGTCTTTACGTAGTATTTTTGTTTTGTTTGAAGTTAAGCACAAGGCTACACAATGGGCTATGTGTACTCTGCCCACCACGGGTATCGCAACCCAGTTTCTATCATTGTAAGTCTGCAGACATACCGCTATGCCACTGGGGGGCCTTTACATGGTATGAAATGCTTTTAGAAAATTTGTGTTTGTTGTTAAGCAGAAAGCTACACGATAGGCTATTTGTGCTGTGCCCATAATGAGTACTGAAACCCGATTTTTTAACGCTGAGCCCCTGGGGGCGTTTAGAAAATTAACTATGAAGAAAACTTTAAAACGTAAGTTTATACGAACAAACAATCCAGATAATCATTTGACCTGATTTTAAAGAATGAAAAATATAATTACACTCGTGTATATTTTCAACAGATATTGCCTTTAATTTCCGCACAACCTTCGTGAACAAGAAAGGAGAAGTGGTGGCTAAATCAAAATCAGTGGCCGTTCATTACCTGCGTGGTTGGTTCCTTGTAGACTTATTGGCAGCCATGCCTTTCGACCTGCTGTATGTTGCTGACCTCTACAATCGAGTAAGTCGTGTAGCTCCTGTTTAATGTACGACATTAATTTCTTAAATAAGGGACAAATCTAAGACTTATCTACATTTAGCTTTCCTAAATAAGTAGTGCTTATTTTAAAATAATGAATTAAACGTAAAGTGAAGGTTATTTTATATTAGATTTAACTAGAAATGTCGTTTAAGTATTCATATATAATCAGAGAATGGCCAGACAATGGCTTCTAAGCATGACGATTTCCGTTTTGGTACATATTTCAAGACACGTGACCAGAAATATGCTCGTGTGTCATCTTAGTGCTTATCGTCCTTTGGTCAGACACATGACACTTGCTTTACTAACATATAACCACATGCCTGATATGTTTATTAGAATTGTTCTTGTAGTATTTCCATGTGCTGGATACGTTTATAACAGCTGTTCTTGTAACATCTCCACGTGTTAGTTGTGCTTATAAGAATTGTTCTTGTAGCATCTTTATGTGCTGGGTGTTTTATCGGAATTGTTCTTGTAGCATCTTTATATGCTGGATGTATTTATCGGAATTGTTCTTGTAGCATCTTTATGTGTTGGGTGTGTTTATCGGGATTGTTCTTGTAGCATCTTTATGTGTTGGGTGTGTTTATCGGAATTGTTCTTGCAGCATCTTTATGTGTTGGGTGTGTTTATCGGAATTGTTCTTGTAGCATCTTTATATGCTGCATGTGTTTATCGGAATTGTTCTTGTAGCATCTATATATGCTGGGTAGGTTCATAAAGCTGTTCTTGTAACATCTCCACACGTTAGTTGTGCTTATAAGGATTGTTCTTGTAGCATCTTTATATGGTGGATGTGTATATAGGAATTGCTCTAGTAGCATCTTTATATGCTGGATGTTTTTATAAGTTCTTGTAAACACATCCAGCAAGTAAAAACTTTAGATGTTCAGAGTGTTTATATAATAATGGTTATGTGTGGCCACACAATGAATAATAAATAGCTGTTCGTGTTTGTTCAATTATTTTGTACCAATATACTGACCAGAATGCATAGAAAATGTATTCTTATAAAATATTTTACTAATACGTATGCATACACTCGCTTGCTTACATGATCATAATCATTTTTGGCAATTTTTTGTTTTCTCAATTGTAGGACTTACTAGTTAGTAACTGTATGGCAACTTTATTTTAACACCAAGTATGCGAGTCAGGGAGACTTGTTTGGTGGGTTCGTTCCCAAATAAAGCTTTCTAGTGCCCTCTTTGTTTATAAATTCTAAATAAAGATTTGAACATCTTGCGATATCTGAAACCTGAATTGCCCATCAAAGTTTCCGAATTCGCAACAGTTTCCAAAATCCCACACAAAACACGATAGGGGCCGCACATATTGTACAATACAAAATCTGGATCCTCAGCTCCATAAAACCGTTTTCTCCGCGGTTTACGCGAGTGCTGTAGATAGAGGTATATGCGGAATGTTCAATGAAACTTACTTGCTGCTGTTTATTGTTTGTTTATTTGTAGTTAAGCACAAAGCTACACAATGGGCTATCTGTGCTCTGCCCACCACGGGCATCGAAACCCGGTTTCTAGCATTGTAAGTCCGCAGACATACCGCTGTGCCACTTGGAGGCGCTTGCTGCTGTAAGATGGCTAAGTTCGGTACCTGTCTGAGCGTAAACACTTCTAGTATTTTGTGCAAGAAGAACACAATCCAGCACAACCCCTAAACTCTGTATCTTCGCAGCCAAACAAAAGTGAGTGAGTCCTTTTGGCAGTAAAGTATGTTTTTTTAGGTTAACAGATCGAGCCCTTTATCGCACTACATTTGTTTTGGGTTATAACATGAATACCATAAACCGTGGCTTTCTTTGTAGCCTAATTAATTCCCCGAATTTGGTTTCATCGACTCACAGACTGGATGGTAAACACATTTGACTTTTTTTAACTTGTTAATTTCCGTCTCAATGCTGCGGTCACGGCTGGTCTGATTTTATATGGTCTTGTAATTATATCTATTTTCCCGAAGACAGAATGCTCTCTTGTCACGTATACGCTGTAATACTGTTTTCTGGCACGAAATCTCATTTGATCAATAACAATTATAAATATACAGCCTTTCGGCAAAAGACAAGACAAAAGTTGAGAAGTATTTTTTTCAACGTTTATCAGGTTTTGAACATAATGATATATTGTGGCATTACAGAAAGTTGGAGTTAACCTGCGTAAAACTTTCTATATATATATTGCCCCCCAGTGGCACAGCGGTATGTCTGCGGACTTACAACGCTAGAAACCGGGTTTCGATGCCCGTGGTGGGCAGAGCACAGATAGCCCATTGTGTAGCTTTGTGCTTACCTTTAAACAAACAAACAAACTATACATATATTAATTAAATATTTGCCTGGAACGTCTTTATAGTCCTCTGCTAAACTCATTTTTATATTACATTATTAAAAATTCTCTTTGTATATCCCTCTGTCCAACAATCAAACCTATGATTCATCTATCAAATACCAAACAATACCATGTTCACAGTCTTGTGTTAAACAGTTTTATTTTATAGTTCTCTGTTAAACTACCATGTGTTTGCCGTCATATGTGTTCAACAGTAACATCTTTATAGTTCTCTATTGAAGAAACACAAGTTTACAGTCCTATATGTTAAACAGGTTTGTTTTATAGTTACTACTTAAACAACCACAAGTTTACAGTCCTATATGTTAAACAGTAACATATTTGCAATTCTCTGTTAATCACATTCACATTCCATTGTTAAAAATCGTTTTTCTAAAGCCATATGTCGAACAAGCAAAACTGTATTATTCATCTGTCAAGAACTAAAATTTTCAAGTCCTACAACTGGGAGTCACAGCCTTTGAGTTCTCTATAAAATGGTTTCATATATTTATGGTCCACTGTTGAACAACTACATTCTTCAGTTCAGAATTTTTTGTTTCAGTTTTAAGTAAACAGACTTACAAAGTTAAAATCCGTGTTTCAATTTCCTACGGTGGACACAGCAGATAGCCCAATATGATTTTGCTCTAAAATAAACAAACTTATTTTATTTCCTTCTTATTTCATTCCATCCTGAGGGGCTGGCAGGCCATTGAAAGGTTGTGCCCTCATCCGGCCAAGAGATGTGATGAAATTGAAAATTAACACTATGTGCTGGAAGTGTAACTATATGAATTCGTGAAGACCTGTGTGTGAATGAAGTAATGATTTCGAAAGGAAGTCAGAACAAATTGCAGAGGTATAAATAAAAATAGTTATTCAGCTATCTGGATAAATACTAGATATAAGATTAAATAAAACCAAAATCAAGAGAAAAAAATGTTTTATTTCTTGCTTTTGAAGTCATATATCATGTTGTGTTGTAACCTACAGAGTGCACAATTCTTCTCTTGGTTCTTTGCATGCGCACGTTTTACTGACGTCACGACAGTACAAACTGCAACGTGAAGCATCCCTTATGTGACGTCACTTTAGTGACTAATGACTGACTGACAGACAACACACTACTGTATAGTGGTGCGAGTGGTTAAAAAGGTGACCTCCTCCAAGCGATTTTCAGCCCCCTTTCGGGGAAATATTTGGGCAAATTTGGCACTTGGATGTCCACATGGTTAGGATTATCAACTAGAAGGAACATAACATACAAATTTAAGTGATGATCAGCTGGTGGCAAGAGTTTCCATCAGAAAATATTACATTCTGAGAGAGAACATATCATTGAACATATCCGATGTGAAGCTTACGTAGGTATAAAGTTAAAGAAGAAAATATGATTCTATCATAAGCATCTTTGTAGGACAAGGCAATGTTATGTTGAAAGCTTTCCGTAGGGCATGTCTTTCCATAACCAAAAGACATGCGTAAAAGTTAGAAGAAGCAGAAATCGAGGTAGTATTACCATATGTGACAGAGAGTTGGACAAAATACTTATATGTGCATAAAAGAATGGTAGATTTAAACCCAAAGAGAATCTTGTTTGGTATCATAAGATATTGAGACATTGAGTGACTTTGTGATTGAGAATCATCATCTGGGCTTTCCAAGTTCAACGTTTATCGAAAATGACTCCTTGCTTTTTAACTGTGTCAAAGAGCTGAATGGTAACGTTCTTGATGCTGACATTAAATAACAAAGGGCTGTGTCATGGGCGATCTCGATCTATCCTGAACTTAAGGACCCCATAAACGACGAAATGAAATAGAGTATTAAACTTAGAATATGTGGCTTACCTGTTGAGTTTGTAGACAAACTACGCTGCGTAACTGATGCTGTCAAGGACAAAGACTCTTTGGAATGGATATATATTTTAGAGTAATAATAACAAATCAAAGAATGTAGTCTGTCGTTGGGAGATGAGAGAGTGAGTTCGAGGGAGGAGAAACTAGATCGGTAGTACGAACGGATGTCACAGTAAAAGTACAAATAGGTTCTGGAGCTGGTTTTCCTCACACCTGTAAGAATATGTGAGGTGATCTAGCTGACAGGTATTGCAAATGGGGGTCATTCCAATTTAGTGCACTGTCTTCCTTGATGAGAGCCCTGACAATGCGGACAGACTTGTATATTAGAACACTCAGTTGTTAAATGAATGTTGTGCAAAATTTTGGGTGGAAGTGTCCTAGAATCATTCACCGTATATCGTTGCTGAAAGATGAAAGCACTATTTGAAGAAGTTGGTTAATTACATCACTACGTTGTGATAAAACTCAAATCATGAAAGTTGGTCTATAGGCGTCATTAATAATTATTGCCCGTCGAATCGATATTCTGTCTTCAAGTAGTTTCGATATTTTATTGTTTCAAAGATAGTTCGATCCGCATTCAACATATGAAAATAGTGGAGTTCGACGAAGTAGTTCTGTTTAAGAGAAGGGAAATCCAAGCTTCTGGATGGTAAAGCCAGGATCCCCATAATGAATCATACCTTTATAATCATGACATCAGTCTTTACTTGTCCAATGTGTTATAGTGAAGTAATATCACAACTATTACCAACTAACAAATCACTTCTTTATAATCGTATATCTTTACGAAGCTGTTTTGAACAACCATCTCATTAATTTTTTTGTATAAATAAACTTATCTCAATGGATATTTTGGGACCGAACACCTACAGAAAAAAAATGTGTAGGTGTTCAGCAGCCAACGAGATTGTTTATTCGACAAAAAAAAAGAGCGCGATTAACCGGTTTTGTTAGGTAAAGCAAAGACTGAAATCAAAAACCTCAATAAATCTTTTCATGCTGGTAAAGTGTAATCGTCATCAAAAGCGTTGACTCTGCGAGTGAATTCATAGCATGAGTAATCCCATACTCCTACTTCTGTGAAGAATACTCGCCCAGAAAGCCAAGAGATATAAAGGGCTAGTAGAGTCAGAGGTCGGCAACCCATCAAAAAAGAAGTCTTTTTTTTTTTGTCTAAAACCAAAACATTTTGAGAGACGCAATATGAACTCATGGTCTAACCTTAAAAAAAAAATACCCTAGTAGGACATCGGTAAGTCTTCGTATTTACACGCTAAAATCAGAGGCTCGATTTCCCTAGGTGGACACAGCAGACAGAGCAAGAGCCGCAGATTGCTGACCCATGGAGTAGACCAATAAGAAATGTGTGGTATCTTGACTGGTAACACAGTATTTTAGCAGCTAGATACAAGCAAACATTACTTTGATCTAAACGGAAAAGTCTGTAACGCCGTCTTGTGACCAGATTTCGAAGGTTATTGAGAGAGTTGTGACTCGTACATATAAAACTAAGTTTTATTACTTTTGTCTATTTTTGATATAATTTGTCTCATCAAGAATGTGCCCTACACCCATCATTTTTTTTTTCATACACGAGCACCCACCGAGAGAAACATAAGTCAATGCCTACGTATCTTTGCATGATGTTGTTATACAATCATATGTGCTTATTCTTATGTTGAACAAACACATCTTTACAGTCTTATTATAATAATACTCTTATTCCATATCCCGTTAGCTCTAAGCTACTTGAGTGTAATACAAACGTTTCATAGAGAAGGTACCAAACTTTGATTCCAGGCTAAATTGTACTGGGTGTGACAAAATAGTTTGGGTGCCGTACTGGGAATCTCAAGGTCCACGTGCGCATCTCATTGCCATAGAAACTCGCCCCACATTTTAAAACTGTGAGTACGATATAAGAGAATGTACATTTTCGCAAGTATCCGAGACGAATATAATATAAAACCGGAATACATTAGTACATTTTTTCACTGCAGAGGGAGTAGTTATCTTTGGTGGCAGAATTCAATAACGTACTAAAGTTTTTAATACAGAGAGCGACAAACTTTAGCATTCATATTAAACTTCTTCACTGGAGTTGAGCCTCACAGCTATACTTATTGTGAGTTTTAGCCTTACATATTACATGCTTGAGAAATGAGAGCAAAAACAGCATTTAATATATCCACTTGGAGTTGTGAAATAATTCCATAGGAAAGAGTTGGGGGGCTAGTGGGCATGTAGGTGTTAGTTAATTCCTTAACTGGTGAGGGCAAAGGCTAGTGTGAGAAACATAGATCATGGGTACCCAAATTCTCTCAGCACATGTTTGTTTGTTTTAGAACAAAGCCACATGTGTCCACCGCTGGGAATCGAACCCCGGATTTTAGCGTCGTAAGTATGTAAATTTACCACTATTCCACTGTGGGAGTCGCAGCACAAGGGAACCCTAAAAATTTCACATTTGATTGAGCCCCCTTCCCCAATAAATATATAGGTTCTGAGTACTTTAACAGTACTGTGTATTTTGTGTATTTGTTACAGAGTGATAGCGTTATTTGTGTGTGTAAACGTTATGTTTTTACAATAGAAATAAATGTAAATATTTTTGCCGCATAAGTAAGACATTGAACTTTGACCTTACACTCTAAGATGAAACATTAAAAGGGGGGAAAAATGATATGTCAGTGCACGATACATTTTTACTGAAGAAAAGAATATGGATTTTAACGTTAAACTAATTCGACTTAATTTTTACTAGAACATGGAGTACAAGAACAAATTATGCTTTTTGTAATGCGTGTAAAAGAGCTTGACTCGAAAATACTTTGTAGCTCGAATGAAGAAGAAACCTTTAGACACACACACATCTGAAAAAGAAAAGAAACAAAAAAACACTTTAATACGTATCGGGCGAAAGCCCTTCTGTAGGCTTAACTGTCAAACACAAATGTTTATTTGTAAAGACTGTAGTTGAGTCTTAAAGACGGTTTAGGTCCGAATCGTTAAGATAAACAATCAACAGTATCAACATAAACGTTTTATATCAGAAGTACCAAGTGTTGATTGAATGCTTATTTATTTTTACTAAATGTTTTTGTCACAAATACGTAGTTTATTTTGAAGAAAAAAAAAGAACACAAAGGTTGAAGCGCAACTGCAAACAACATTTACAGCGAATATTAGACCGAATATTTGAGGTTTTGATATTCGAGCCACAGTTGAAAGTTTTGTTCAGGTTTAGAAAAGTGATCTTAGTTTGCTTCAGAAAAGATTTACGGATCGTATTTCGGAATGCTTAACCTACACTTGTAACACCGTTGAAAACTGCTGACTTGACAAAACGTCAAGAAAACTTGCTGACATTTCGTAGGAACCAAGAAGTTTGTCCTTTCGTTATTATTAAGCGTTATTGCAATAGAATCCGAAAATTCAGGGAAGCCGAATTGGCAGAACAAAAAAGACAAACTTTTTACTTTCCAAGGATAAGTTATCTAAGTTAGATAAAATTGTAGGAAAATGTAAATGAGTTCAACCAAATAATAATAATAAAAACCGAAACGTAAGTAAAATAAAATAATAATAACTGATATATCAAAATAAGTACAATGGTGAGAAAAATACAGAAACCGACTACAGTGAACTAATGTTAATTATTAGTGTTTACCCAGAAATAATACTCTCTGTAAGCAGTATTGAACGTATACTAAGTATTCGTACACTGACACGATTGTGGGTAAAATGAGGTCCAAATTAAAATGTAAAGGTTATCGACTGAGTGATCTTTCGAAATGTTGTCAGCAGCTAAGGTAACCATGTGAATGATTTAATGGATTCTAGTCATTATGATTTTTAACTTTCTTTGTATCGATTTATGACATTTTGTACTTCTAGTTCGTTTGTTAGATACAATTGTCTTAAATAATTTATAAATTACCTTAGTTAGATTAATTTTGAACAGAATTGGTAATCTCTTTAAAAAGAGTAATGTTGCGCAGCACATTTTTTTTACTCCGCTGGTATTTACTACTGATGTAATCGAAACTATCATGTGAAAATTGAAACATCACTGTTAGTAAATGTACGCTTAGTGTAGTGTCTGTAGAACAGGTGCGCTGTTTATAAATAATTTATAAATTACCTTAGTTAGATTAATTTTGAACAGAATTGGTAATCTCTTTAAAAAGAGTAATGTTGCGCAGCACATTTTTTTACTCCGCTGGTATTTACTACTGATGTAATCGAAACTAGCATGTGAAAATTGAAACATCACTGTTATTAAATGTACACTTAGTGTAGTGTCTGTAGAACAGGTGCGCTTTGTCTGAAAGCTAGAAGGCATATTTGAGCGATGTATAATAACATTGCAAATAATTGATGAAGTATTTATTGCTTTCCAGTGAAAAGGTCAATGTTGTAACCTGACAAAGAATTTTGTGGAGAATGTGTCTTATAAATGTTCCTACAAAAATCGACAGAGAAGGGTGCATAGGATGTATTTATTTAAGTCCCCAAGGCTACCCTTTCTAACAGAATACTACCTATACATCTCTGATTATACCATGTTACAGCTTGGTGATTCGGTGTTGTCTTTTGATCGTTTTGGAGTTTAACAAACATATTAACAATTGTCTCGAATCTCGTAGTGTACGTTTATGGTTTAGACAGTGAACATTAAGCTTAGATTCTTTCAATATATCACCAATTTTTTTTCGTTGAAAACAATCATTAATAGCTAAATCGCTAAAGCATCTTGTTGTAATTCAATATAAATGGGAACTTAATTTACTTGGATATTCCTTTGACGAGCATCTCGAACTTTCATAAATGGCCTTCCAATGACAATGTTGTTGATATCTATTTTATTCAAACAAATTTTGTACTTAAAATACCTAATTCACAGTAGAGTCCCAGATTATTCCGTGTAATAGTCCGAACTCATTATTTTTCTAGAAAGCAGAAAGGTTAGCTAGAATCCTTTTTCTTTGTTCTCCTTCCAGTTCTCTTCCATTTTCAGGATACGTCAATGCACCTGTTGAAACTTACTCGACTTCTTCGTCTCGCTCGACTTCTTCAGAAGATGGACAGATACTCTCAGTACAGCGCCATTATTCTTACTCTTTTGATGCTAATGTTTTCACTGGTTTCTCATTGGTTGGCTTGTATATGGTACGTCATCGCACTGGAAGAAATCGAAATCAACCCAGCCAATTGGGATGTGGGTGAGACCATCTCTCATGTTTAATACCCGGAATAGTATTCTGTTATATAAATTGATATCTTAGCATTAATCTAACCGAATGTTTAAATCATGCAAAATACAGTTCTAACCCTGAAAACACTGAACCTATTTTTTCTCTTTACGAAACATTGAAAGCAAAATTTAGCATTTGGTATGTTCAACCTTATGTGACACATGGACTACACAGGCTGGTTAGAGACCCCGAAGTTGAGGCGTGCCATCACTAATTTAAAACTGCTAACCAGAGAGAGGTCAACCAGCTAGCAGCACTCGCCATCTATGTTAGTTACTCTTGACCAAAGGGTGAGATTAACTGTCAAAATTATAACACCCCCAAACAATTTACGGAACGTGTTCAGTGATATATCACGGCTCGAACCTTGGACCTTTTCAATCCGCAGCTAGTTTGGAACATTAACTACCAGCCACGTTCCGTCCAGAACAAAAGGCTAAGGACGACCTAGTGGTTAGTGTACTCGTATTGTGAAGGTTAGGTTTCACAATCTGAGGCATATTGCTCTAACTTTGGGTGCTCTATAAGAGTGACGGTCAGATCCCACTGTTCGAACAGACTAGAGTAGCCCAAGAGTTGTCTATTGGTGCTGTTGACTAGTTACCTTCTTTCTAGTCGGTGTATTAGTTCTAAATTAGAGATGGCCATGCGCTGATTTTCATGAAAATTTTGAAGTAATTGTAGCAGTTGTTGTTTTTAACGTTGTAACTCCTTAAACTTACTGCTGACCCACTGAAACAAAACCGATCAAGAGGATATTTTTATTGTGTAAAAAGCTTTTACTTTGAAAGATTTGCCGAATTTGGGATTACCATAACTATAGATTTTAGATTAAGTTTTCTTAAAGCTTTATTCACCAAATAATAAATTTTTGACTGTTTGGCTTCCCAGTATTTAATGTATTAACTCATTTAACAAAACGCCAGTTCTCAAACTGCAAACCATTCATTGGTAAAATGACTAAAGAGAGGAGTTAAACGCGCCATCTCTTGTGATTCCACTACTTGTTTTAATAGAGCACGCGAAACGATGTTGATTACGTTCACCATCTTTCTACTTTTTCAATAATGCAAAATATGCATTGACAACGCTTAACCTGTGATGGAGTTTTTCATTGCTTACAAACCAGAATATTCTCAAACTTCTCAACCTTCATTGTTCGTTAAACAATACGCTGCATTTAAGTGTCCTTCTCTTTTTCCTTTTAAAAAATATTTATTAGAAGCCTGCCTTCTTTAGAGAATGCTTCATCCAACAGGTATTAAACCTCCTCTTGTTTTGCATGTCAAATTTGTTTGCCATGAAATAAGGGAAGACACTAGAAGCACATATTATAAATATAAAATATTTTATTTAAATAAATCAAACGCAATTTGGACATTTTAATAATTTAATACTTATTGTTACGACCAATAAATACCGATATTTTCATTGTGGCACATTTTTTTCCAAAGCAAATGTTTCGAAAAGCTTGTGCTTATAACTCTACAAATTGGGGTTTGATACCCTCGGTAAGCACGTAGCTTCATACTCTAACACAAACATCAAAAATATCACAACATAGCTTACAAATAAACTAGATTACAATCTCTAGTGTTTTCATTTTGCGAAGAAAATCAACTACATGATTTCTCCACAACTAACGTTGCATTCCTAGTTCTTATTCTTAATTGTGTAATCTTTTTGTTTTCTAACGCTTGTTTCGCTCCACGCCCGGTAGCTCAGCGGTAAGATCAAGAGCTTATAACTCTCAAATTGTAAGTTCGATCCCTTTGGTGAGTACAGCGCAGATAGCCCATTGTTGTGTTTAAACAAATAAAGAAACTCACATGTGTTTTTCTTATAGAATAATATTGACCATTGATTTGTGGTCTTATCATGCACGATTGGTATCCTTGAGGAAAGGTCTCACTCTTTACTTACTCTATAATATATGCTTGATTTCACTCAGTATTTCACTCACTTAGTATTGTTATATTATGAACACGGTCTCAGGTTTTTATGCGGTAAAAAAAAGGTTAAATTATGCAGACAAAACTATGAAATTATGACATGTTTGTTTGTTGTTAAGCGCAAAGCTACTCAATGGGCTATCTGTGCAGTTGGTATCTAAACCCGATTTTTAACGTTATAAGCCCTCAGACTTACCGCTGTACTACCGGAGGGCTGAAATTATGTACCATAAACTTAGTGATTATGCATGAAAAACAAAAACTATGTATTGATTTTGCAGGAAAATTTTAAATTATGCAACTATTACCTAAGGTAAAAACAGCTTGGAACAATAACATATGAGAAGATGTTAGTAATAGTTAATATAATTCCAACATCAAAATCCATTTGACACTTTCATTTTTTTTAAACTAACAACAGTAAACACACTTTTAGATTTGAGAAATCACTTGACAAACAACTAATCAAAATATCTGGCCTAAGTTAAAAGTCATAAATCTGCTAACACTAACCTAGACTTTATTGAATCCAAAAATTCAAACTTTGATTATACAGTAGTCAATCATTGATTATGTGATCATACGTAAATTATGCAAAATATATGCCGCTGCTGCGTAATTGTGCTAAACTTGTGGCCTTGTATAAAGAAGATCAAATGGTATTTTGGTATTGGTGTTAAAAATGTTGCATTTGCATCAAGTTTAGATTTGAAGTTTTATGTAAATATTAGTGAAAAAAGTTGGAACATTTCTTTCGTCTTTTTTTCTTTCATCGGGAAATATAATCTTTACCCATTTCTTCCCCATGCATTACTTTATTTTTTAGGTTACATATTTAGTTGCTTCACTAAAAAAAATCTTTTTTCTTGATCTGTTTCGTTCAGGATGGCTGCACCAACTCTCTGATAAAATCGGCAGTGACGTCGTTAACTTTACGGACACCGCCACAGCCTACGTCACCGCCCTGTATTTCACAACCAGTAGTTTAACAAGTGTAGGCTTCGGAAACGTATCAGCTAACACCAACGCAGAAAAAGTATTCTCCATTCTTACTATGTTGATTGGAGGTAAGACGTTGCTTTTTTTGGCTTCAAACAGTCCAAGAGTGTAATTTGTCATGGGGTAGTGAAGGAGCTGCCCCGAGAATTTGTAGGGTAGGACGTTGCTTTTTTGGTTTCAAATAGTTTAGAGGTGTCATTTGCTATAGGACGCCGACGGGAGCTGCCCTTAGACTTTGCAGAATGTCAGACAGAATATAAGGTGATAGATCTTGTCTTCACAAAAGAATGAAAGAGGTACACTACAGATAATGTTCTATACGCTGACACAGCTTGACTCCCACCCCACTCCTCAATTTTAGAAGTTTTCTGAAATAACGCCACTGAAACTACGAAAAAATTTGAAACTAATCAACTAGTTATTGACATTAGGCTAACCTTTCGTAACTTATACAAAAGTATATGGTACTCACGGGTAACAACGGCATGTTCCTTTACACAGGTAACAACAACTACTTGTAGCGGCATATTCTTTTACACAGATGAGGAAGCATTTGAACCGTATACTTAGATGATTGACTTAGCTTCCTCTCTATTGATATCTGTGAATTGCTTCTTGAAACTAACATAGACACTATACAAAAGCTTGTATTGATCTGAGAAGTGTAACTTGCATTCAGATCATTAATGAACATCTTCTAGTAGAGTGAACGTCAAGTACGGCGTGTTTTGATGTAGTATCGGAAATCTGGTTTCTTTTTTTAATGAACAATACAAAAATTTTTAGTAGATTCGGTTCCAGCGTGTCATGAAGTTAAAGATTCGATCACGTTCAGCATTTTTAAGTTAGAGTCTTTCCGAAAGCTCTCACGTCTTGTCTTAAGTATTAATCACGCTTTGAATACTGCGTGGGTACAAACTCAAAAACTGTATTTCAGATCATTAATGTGTTTCTCAGGGATCTATAACTACAACACGATGTCGAAATAACTCGTTTAAGTGTTAATCACGCTTTGAATACTGCGTGGGTACAAACTCAAAAACTGTATTTCAGATCATTAATGTGTTTCTCAGGGATCTATGACTACAACACGATGTCGAAATAACTCGTTATGGATCCAGTTTAAAGATGCTCCCAAAACTTTAATAAAGTCAGTATTGTGTTGCTATAAAATTCTCAGAAATCCAAAAGTACACATAGACACGAGCTAAAAATGTTCTTTTTAATTCTGATATTAATAACAATTAAACACCATAGAGAAAGAAAATATATTGTTAGGTATCTCACGTACTATAAAGTTTATTGACAAGAAGGTGTGCACACTTACATTCCCATAGCAAGTTCGACACGACACTTAATCTGGAGGATTCAAATGCCAGAGAGTCTACTTTATATGACATATAATAAGATGCAAGATAGTTATTAACAAGAGATCTACATACGTGTAACTGTGAAGTACACCTAAACTTCAATTAAGTAAGGAGTAGAATGCTATCCAGTTCATTTTCAAAACTTTCATGAATATTTATTTCAACGCAACTTGTTCATCATCGGGTCTTCGTCATAACACGTGCAGTGTTACGCGTGTGAGTATACATTGTACATATATCTAATAAAGATGCACCACGAGCAGAAACTAACTCTCCCAAAGAAAATCCTAGCCACGCACTTGACTAAGAAATCATATAGGGTCAAAATTAGATAGATATCAAAACAAGAAACACGTTAAACAGAGCGCTTTTGGAAGAAAGTAGCCAGTCCTTCTTTATTCAGGGGCCAATTAGGAGTCAGAGTAAATGATCCAACGCCACTTCTAGAGCCGATCTTATTAAAAAATATTACGTTTGAAATAGTCCTAGATGCTTTTGGAAAAAAGGGGCTTATTTAAAATAGAACGTGTTGGGCCTTGGTGAAACTGGTGTAGTTACAATTGTTAATTATTCATCTAATTATACATCTATATAGATCTGTATAAAAGTAAATCAGATTTAGTTCTATTTTAAAATTTTCTCTTCAGAATAATCTTATATTTAGTCCCAATGTGAATTTGTATGCCTAGAATAGTCCTATCTAATCATGGTGTAAATGGTTGTGTTTGGAAAAGTCTTATGTAGTTCAGGCGCGAAATGGTGTGTTTAATTAGTTTCAAATTCACATAGGCTCAATTGCTTCTGACATAAATAAGCTAATTTGAAATAATACTTTTTAGTCCTGACGTTAATTGAAACACAGGTCATAACCTTTTATGAATAGAATACTCCTAAAGTCCTGATTAGAGAAGTCCGATATTTATTTCTGAATTAAAAGTTCGGAAAGATCCTATTCAGTCTTGATGTAAACAGGTGAAAGAAGCCCTGTTTAAATCTGATAGTGTAAGAACTTATTACGTTTTTTTCAGTCCTGATGTAAACAGGTGAAATAAGCCCTGTATAAATCTGGTAGGGTAAGAACTCGTTACGTTTTTTCAGTCATGATGTAAACAGGAGCGCCATTCCGCAAAAGGCTTGGGGGAGGGAACAAAGAAAAACTGACCTCGCGGGGCCCTACGCTATGGCGTGATTTGCGTATGTGTGTTAATCTGATTAGACTATAAATGTCTCACAGAAACTGTCTTTTGAGGCATCTTTCCAATGGTTCCCCTGGTTGTAAACTCTTACTTAGATTAGGCTCATTCATATTTAACGAAAACTTTTGTTTCGGATAGTTCTGTTTAAAGTGTTTTCGATAGTCCTAGAACAATCCTGTTTAGTCCTAATGTAAGAAGGTTTCTTTGGAATAACTCCAATTAGTCCTGGACTCCTGAGCATTCTGTTCAAAATAGCCTTATGGTAAATTTAACCACTTTTTGAAAACAATATTATTTAACTACTGTCCAATATAACAACAACTGACACTATTTCCGCGGTTCCCAAAAGATGGCCCTCAGAAACACCCAGTGAACGCATAATTATTTCTGAATAAATATTCATATTATTGAAATTATAAATCCTTTCTAAACTTGTTTTTGCAACCCCATATATAACTATGTACATCCTGTGTATTTCATATCTATAGGTCATGTTCTGTATAGTATAGGCCTATAAACCAATACACTCCTAACGGGCCGAAAGCTTCTGCTATTTTGTCAAGTGAAAAAAGTTGGGAACTAGTGTGCTATTTCGCTTACAATAGCCTTCCTCACAGATATTAATTAAACTGTTGTGTTTAACAAAACAAGACGTCGATTTTCAAACCCACATTCAATTTGTAGAATAGTTTACTTTTGTACTGGTGGGTAGGCAGGCGTGTGTATAAGATTATTCGCATATCCCTCGGTTGTTTACTGTTTGATATCAATTAAGGGAGTATAAATATTTTGATTTTAAGCTGATGTTTTTGAGATAATCTTGAATTAGCTTTAAGGATATACGTTTTGAACTGTTCTTCTAACTCGAGTAAATTTTGTTCCGGGAATTACCTTATTAAGGACTGATACCAACTAATGTTTTCATTTTAGCCCTAATGCATGCTGTCGTGTTTGGAAATGTGACCGCGATTATACAACGGATGTATTCAAGGCGTTCTCAGTACCAAACAAAACTAAGAGATTTAAAGGACTTTTTCAGGCTTCATCAGATCTCAAAAGAGTTGCGACAGAGAATGTTAGACTACTTTCAAACCACGTGGGCGTTGAACAACGGGATTGACCAACATGAGGTATGAGGCTTTACTTTGTCGTTCTTGAATGTAGACGTATACACGTTGTCTTATTATACTCCATGTCCACCATAATAAGAACATGGAGCTTTTCAACGTTACCTGCAGGGTGGACCATAACGAACCCCCCCCCCCCACTTTCCAATTAAGATGTCAAGGATACCTATTGTGTTATATCTTGATCTAAAATATTACTTTTAAACCCAACAGTATTCAAAATTCTTACTCTTTCACACATTTTTAGAGTCGATCACTGTCATAGTTAAAATGTTATACTTTTAAGTTCAACTATATTTAACAATGGCTACTTCTCCGCCCCAAGTTAGTAAGGATAATTTTTTTGCAATCAGTTCAGCAATATTTTTTCCACCACGTGCTGATGATGACCGTTCACATCATAACAAATAAACTGAACTTATTCACTGGTTGCATCCTTATAAAATACCTAATCTACAGCATTCAATAAACAAACAGCTACCATCTTTGTTTTTGAGCATTTTGGGCGCGTTTTCCTTTAGAATTATAATCACTATGCCCAAAATACTGACCCATTAAAACCTTTTCTAAAGCCCACTGTGCATGGATGATTATTTACCATTGTTATTACGTAAAAATAAAAGTAGCCTCGAAAAGGTTACTTGTGGGTCGTTGACTTTTGTGACAATCAGTCTTAGCTGCTAAACGGTACTTTTAATTAATCTTGAGTACTATCGAAATGATACTGAGAAAAAAAAACATAGAACATAAAATCGTCAAAGAAAATAGAAAATCTATAAAACTTAATTTTCGTATTGCTATCATATTTATAACTACATATATATAGTATATTTTCCATGTTTGTGAACAGCCACATTTCTTGAAATATCCGTACGTGGTAATACCATAATTTATTTCAATGTTAGTCTAGCAATGAACGGAAAATTTTCATATACTGAGGTTAACTGCACTTTATAAAAGCGATGTTCCCGCGCTGTCCTTGGAACTACTTTCTCCACTGTTGATCGTGTTCATTCTGATGGTCTATACATCAAAACCAAACAATTACTCTGTTACTCGACGTCTCATTGAATAAAACTTCTGTGAAGGACGGTGAGGTCATTCTTAGAACACGCCTCTTTCCTGAAACCTTTCCCTGTACATGGACTTTGGCTTTCAAGGCCACTTTTAAGCAGAAACAATTATGACATAAAAGTCCATTGGAGGTGCATCAGGAGACTTGAAAGGTATTTGGTCGAATTTCATTGCTGTCATTTCAGTTTCTTTAGTCATAAAAGCTGTTTTGGAAGTGCAAGAAGTTTGTCATCAACTACAAATCTTTTTTATTATCTCATTAATTTGTTTGTCTGTTTTGGATTTCGCACAAAGCTACACGAGGGCTATCTGCGCTAGCCGTCCCTAATTTAGCAGTGTAAGACTAAAGGGAAGGCAGCTAGTAATCACCACCCACCGCCAATTCTTTGGCTACTCTTTTACCAATGAATAGTGGGATTGACCGTCACATAATAACGCCCCCACGGCTGAAAGGGCGAGCATGTTTGGTGTGAAGGGGATTCGAACGCACGACCCTCAGATTGCGAGTCGAACGTCCTAACTACCTGGCCATACCGGGCCCTATCTCATTAATGGTAACCATGCGATATGCTAAGCTTCATTGTAATAAGTTTTTGAATTGGGGTGTAAGTTGGGAGCTCGTTGCTGTGTTAAAAACGCTCTGTTGTGCCGAATATTAGGTTTCACTGAGAATATTAAATGTCCCCTTCTTCAAAATCGTCTAACAACAATCTCTCTACACGGATATCTTTCTGCAGAAAGGTCGTTACAAAAATCTTCAGCCTTAAGTTCGTCCGTGACAAATGGACTGTAATTCGCCGTGAGTCAAATATATATATATATATATATATATATATATATGCTACCCACCCTCCCACTCAATGTACTCAGACGTTAAGTCTAGAAGTACTATAACGCTAGAAACCT